GCCTCCGCCGGTATGCTGGAAGATGACGGTGGTGGCGTAGGCACCGGTGGGATAGGTCTCGCCTTCGCCGGAGATCTAAGACGAAAAGGTGCGCCACCAGGTGGCGTCGAATACATAGGACTCCCGCTGGGAAGAGGGCTCGGTGCGAGCTCCGCTGTCGTCAGGCCCGCCCCATTATTGAGCAAGCTCCCCAGTCTCATCATCCATCGCGGAACATCCAGGCCTCCCATCCAGGCCTGCTGTACAATACTCCTCTGTCCATTACCAGACTTCGGGGTAACAAAACCTCCAGACAGTTCATCCGCTGTGTGGTCGCTAGCTCGTTGCTCCAGATTTGATCTACCGCCTGGCTCTGAGATCGTCGAAGCTATTTTTGGCTTCGCCTGTCCCACACCAGCTGCAGTCTCCAAGGCCTGGAAAGGCTGCACCATCTGTACGCTTTGCACATCGTCCTGCGCCTCCACAACAGGTCCCGCCACTGACCGATGCACACTTTGCATGTCTGGAGTCCCTTGAACCTCTGCAGCCGCAGTTACTTCTGCGACTGCCGACGTCGATGGGGCCGGATCATCACGACTCAGAACCCCATTTGCCAGATTAGCAGTGGTTCCTTGGGCACTCATAACCTAGAAAACTGCCCTAAAGCAGCTCTGTCGGGGCTGGCCACCACGGCTTATGCTTAGCACACCATTGCTGAGCGCGCGGTGACATGAATCTTTTTCCCTTAGCACCTGCAGTCAAAAGCTGTTATAGATCTCTGAGTGCACTGAATGTACATGTGGTGTGCCTCTGTTGCGATCTAAGCAACTGCTGTGCATGTTGACCCAAGAGCCTGATTTCGCAGCCGCTCTGAACCAACAACGACGATCGGAGGCTGGTGTCTTTCTGCAGGTTTAGGGTTTAGGGTGTAGGGTTTCGGGTTTAGGCTTCGAGAGAGGCCAAGACCCCGGAATTGACAGATAGACCTTTAACTCAGGGCTTCTTTAAGGGCTCCTTCGACGGTTGCACAAGGAGTTCTACAGGGTCTACTTACGATTTAGGGATGAAGGCTTAGGGTGCAGGGATTGGGGGCTCAGGGTTTTGCAACCCCAGGGGGCCCAATGCCCCGTAATTGAGAAAGATACCTTAATCTATGGGGTTCAAAATACGTTTTGGTTTTTTTAAGGGAGCTTGGCTTGGTCCTGGGCCGCCTGGGGCCCTTGAACGGCTCTATGAAGGTTTAGGGTTTAGGGCTTAGGACCCTAAACCCTAAACCCTAAACCGACTTATGAGCTTCATCTATCAGCTGCGGCTTCCCTATGTTTGCCATGATATCCATGTGTCATCATCTGGGTTTAGGGTCTAGGGTTTAGGGTTTAGGGTTTCGGGTCTAGGGTTTAGGGTTTAGAGACGGATAAAGAGGTCAGGGTGTGGCCAATGGCCCGGACGATCAAGGCGGCTCGTCAAGCCTAAACCCTAAACCCGAAACCCTAAACCCCTAAACCCTAAACTCTAAAACCCTATACCCTAAACCCTAAGCTATAAAGCCCTGGACGTGGAGCCCTCAAACCGTCATATAGCAGTAGGACATCCTACTTGCTGAACCAGGCAGGTCATCCCGCTTTGGATTTAGGATGAACCTTCAACTGCCCTCGTGCCCTACGGTTAAAAATTTGCGGAAGAGCCTTACATGGTCTTCAGGCCGTAAAGCCACCCTAAGCCCTAAACCCAAAAGCCCTAAAGCCTAAACGCATGAGTCCTTACAGCTTTCGGTGTGTTGATGAGGAGCTGGGGTCAATTTGCCATGAGAAAGGGGTGTGTAGTAGGTTACGGGTTTACGGGTTTAGGGTTTCGGTGCTGTCCTTGATGGCAACTCTACATGAGCTCGATGGCACGAACCCAGAAAGGCTGTTCGGACGATACTGCAAAAGGCTCTGTTGGTCTTGGGTGAGTCGGGCGTTTTAGGATGGTCTGAGTCTTAGTACTTTGGTTCTGGGGTTTAAAGTTATCAAAGGATGTCTATCTTACGAGCTAGAGCTCTGAAAATCGCTACAGCCCTACATCCCTCTGAACCTTCACCCCAGACTGCTCAAAACCTTTCAAAACCCCCAAACCCTATGGCTCCAAAGCACTTGGCTCCAAAGCACAAAAAAACCCTTCAACACATACACACACAAACGCACAAACCATTCCAAGACTCTAAAACCTTAAATAACCCTAACCTAAATCCGTAAGCCCTTAACCCTAAACCCCAAACCCTGAAACCCCCAAACCCCTGAACCTGAAATTCAGTTCGTCCCTGTGTTGTATGTGGAGCAGGGATCCCTGCGTCAGTCTCGCCTGAATCGTCCGACGACCGCCTCATAAAACCCTAAACCCCTTAACCCTAAACCCCCAAACCCCTGGAACTGGAAAGTCGTAGTCGACTTGTTCGCCATCTGCCAGTGTTTCCTGGCGGATGATCAGCTTGACGTGTCCATTGCGTTCTGTATACTCGACGTGCTGCGCGGCCTTGTGCATGCCAAGCTTGGAGTTCACCTCAACTGTGCTCATGAAGACCGTCGTACCTCTTCCAACAGGCGGCTCCGTGACGATGAGAACATGTGTGCAGACCGCTGGCTGCACCATCAGCGTGCCAGGTACGACCTCGTCAATCCAGGCGTAGTCCGTGGAGCTCGCCATGTCTTTTGAGATACGAAGCGTCGAGCTGTACTCACCAAGTCCTATGAAAGTGCTCGGATTGTCTGCTGACTGCTTGCATAAACCCCCAAACCCCTTGACCCTAAACCCCTTAACCCTGAACCCCTTAACCCTGAACCCCTAAACCCCTAAACCCTAAACCAAAAACCTTAAGCCCTGAAACCTGAAGACCCTTAGGCCCCAGAAACCTCGAGACACTTGGAGACCCCTAAAAAACAGACCCTAACCCTCAACTAAACCTCTAAACCCCTAAACCCCTAAACCCTAAAAACACTAGGCCCTAAAAACCTAAACCCTAAACCCTTCAAGCCTAAACCCTAAACCCTTCAACCCTTCAACCCTAAACCCTAAACCCTTAAACCCTAAACCCTAAACCCTTCAAGCCTAAACCCTAAACCCTTATACCCTAAACCCTAAACCGTGAAACCCTAAGCCCTAAACCCTAAACCCTGAACCCTCAACCCTTAAACCCTAAACCCTAAACCCTAAACACTTAAACCCTAAACCCCTAAACCCTAAAACAGAGGCGAGACTCTGTGCTCGTATTGAGCAGTAGAGTCATCTCGGCGAGCTCGTCGTAGAACTCCACCTGAAGGTTTAGGGTTTAGGGGTGCAGGGCTTAAGGCTTTAGGGGTTTAGGGTTCAAGGGTTTAGGGGTTTAGGGTTCTTAGGGGCTTAGGGGTGTTAGGGTTGAGGTGTTTAGGGGTTTAGGGGTGTCAGGGGTTTAAAAGTTTAGGGGTTTAAGGGTTTAGGTGTTTAGGGCTTTGGGTGTTTAGGGCTTTGGGTTTAGGGTTTAGGGGCAAGTTTAAAATTCCATGCAGGCTTAGGGTTAGGAGTGCTCAAGGTTCTTTAGAGGGCTCCTTAAAGGTTTAGGGTTTAGGGTTTTGGGTTTAGAATTTTAGGGTTTAGGGTTTAGGGTAAATGATTTGGAGGGTGTTTCACATGGTTCCTTGTACGGTGCCGAAAGCGGTTTGATAGGGTTTGTTATAAGGTGCCATTGGGAGGTTCATGGGTAGCGAAAACTAAGGTTATAAGTAGGGCCTAAACCCTAAACCCTAAATCCTGGGGCCCTAGGGTAACAGTAAGTATAACTCATATTCGGGAACTTATAGCCCCTACACTACCCTCAGACCCTATAAACCCTAAACGCCAAGCCCTACAAGCCCTCTAGAACCCTTAAAGGAAGCCTACTTATAACCCCCGCTTAGAGATATCCCATGAACCTCCAAGTATGGGCTGAGGTTTTAGGGTTCGGGGTTTAAGGGATCAGGGCTTCAGGTCTTTAGGTCTTTTAAGTCTTTAGGGCGTTTTTTGACTTGTGTTTTTTGGGTTTAGTGTTCAGCTTTTTTTTTGAGAGCTCTTTTGCGTCCGCACGTGGGTATAGGGCTTGGGGCTTCAGGGTTTCAGGGTTCAGGTCCGTCGGGCTTTAGGACTTTGAGCTTTAGGGCTTTGGCGTTTCGGGCTGAGGTCTAGGGTTTAGGGTTTAGGGTTTAGGGTTTAGGGTTTAGGGGTTTAGGGTTTAGGGGTTTAGGGTTTAGGGTTTAGGGTTAGGGTTTTGGGGCGTTGGAGTGTGGCTTAGGATTTAGGGTGTTGGGGTGTTGGGGTGTTAGGGTTTCCTGGTTTAGGGTTCATTGGTAGTTATTACGTGCCCCCAATATACCCTACTTATAACTCCGCTTATAACTACCCATGAGCCTCCAAGTAGGGTTTAGGGTTTAGGGTTGGGGCTCAGAGGGTACTACTCAGGAACCTAGATGAAAAAAAAGTGTAGGGTTGAGGGTTTTGAGTTTGGGCTTCTGTGTGTTCCATGTTTGGACGTTACGGTGCGTTTGTTGAGGTCTCGTTCTCTGCGAAACATGGACTTAGAAGTTGTGAGATTCCAATGTGAAAAGCCTAAACCCGAACCGCGAAACCGAAACCTGAGCTAATTTTGATTAAGGTTTGGGGCTGCTCAGGGTATAGAACAGAGCTGGTCTGTCCGGTCGCTGGGCATGAGTACGTAATGAAATTCGTACGGGACCCTCAACCCAAAGACTACACCATCCCTGAGTTCTGATTGATTAGAGTTCTGCCCGGGAATCGCCATGGGACTCAACGAACAGATCAGTACCCGAGATATCCGGCAAGGGCTTCCCAAAGAGCCCAAGACCCCTTAACTGAGGAACATACCTCAAATTATAGGGACCTTAGTTCTATGGTTTAAGGTATGTTCCTTAGTTAAGGGTTATTTGGCTCTCTGGGTTCGGGAACATCATGATCGGAGAGCGAGCCAACATGTGCACTCCCTGGCATGCCACATCATGCCATCTTCTGCGATCAGACAACTTGCAACAAAAACAGAGTCGAATAACGTAGAAGCCTAGATAATTACCCACAATGTTCCTTAGGGTTCCTTATTCTGATTCTACAACAAGGAGCCCAAAACCCTATTTTAAGTACAAGAAGACTCCTATGCTAAACCGTCATTTCCAGTTATTGACGCCCCTACGGCTCCTTATTATAATTCTACAAAAAGGAGCCAAAAACCCTACGCTACACCCTCATTCATTTCCAATTACTAACGCCCCCACGGCCCTACATGAATCGTGGGGCTATGATTTAAAATCGGCGTCGTCGTAGTGGCGAAGGATCGGCTCAGATCCCTGGCCGCTAACTCCGCTGAGGGTTGGGGGTTTAGGATTTGGGTTTAAGGTTGGGGGTTTAGGATTTGGGGTTTAGGGTTGAGGTCTAGGATTTGGGTCTTGGATTCAGGGTTTAGGGTTGTTGCTCGTCAATGTCATACACTGACGATATCGCCAAACCCTAAACCCTAAACCCTAAACCTTAACCCTAAACCCTAAGCCCTAAGCCCTAAACCCTAAACCCTAAACCCTAAACCCTAAAACCTTAACCCTAGCCCCTAAACCCACTAACTTTCTGTCTTGGAAAAGGTTTTAAGGCCGAGAAAGCTTACCAGCGCTCCCATGGGGCCGTCTATCCAAGTCTCAAGACCCCACACCCGTTTAGGGAGTATAGGGTTTAGGGTTTAGGGATTAGGGTTTAGGGTTTGAGGTTTAGAGATTAGGGTTTAGGGTTTAGGGATCAGGGTTTAGGGTTGAGGGTTGAGGGTTGCGGGACTATATAGGGGTTATAGGGTTTATGGTTTAAATTGTAAGGATTAGGTTGCTTGTACATCCTCTGCTTACCCCGGGCCTGGGTGGCATCGCTGGTCATTGAGGGCGCAGGAGGACAGCACCTTGCAAAATCATTTTAAGGCTTCAGGGTTTCAGGTCTAAGGTTTCTGGTTCAGGGTTCGCCAGGGAGCCATAAAACCTTTTAAGAAACGGAGTCGATCTGATATTACAGTGGGGCTTAGTAGTCTACAATGTATTCCGTAACCAGGAGGGATCGGGTGGAGGATGAAAAAATTTAAAAAGCATCAAAGAAAATTAGGCTGAACAGATCAAAAAAAATTAGGAAGGATCAAAAAACTTAGGGTTTGGGGGTCTGCTGCAAACAATAGCACGGTAAATGCTATTCCAATATTTCCGCGTCGAAAATGTGCGAAACTATGGTGTCAATCTCAGAAAAGTCTGGGACCACGTAGAGGGTTCGAACGGTTGGCGTAACCAGAGCTGCTGACCATGGCTGCGTGCGCTAAACAGCCTAAGTTGCCAGGATCAGATTCCAATAGTTTAGCGTCGAATTTTGCGAAGCTAGATATGGTGTTTAAAGCTACAAAAGCATGGTACAGCGTGGAGGGCATCGACGTTAACAGTTGCTGGCCATGGCTGCGTGTGCAGGTGATTCGGAACTCGCCAGTAGTTTGGGGCAACAGTGTTCCGTGACTTGGCTTACTGTTTCGACTAAGGTGGTTTGGCTCAATTGGCTGAATCCTGCATGTGCATAGTGACGCACGCCCTGTTCGGGCTAAGGTGGTTTGGCTCAGTTGGCTGTGTTGTTGCGGACTCCCATTGTTATCCGTAACAATGGAATAGTGCGATGGAGCAGGTGACAACTCCATCAAGCGTCAAAAAAGTCGCAACTTTCGTCGTCTTAGCTGCTGCCAGCTTGAACCTTTGAGCCCTTTAGGGTAAATCGGGAACCGCCTAAACCAAGGTTCGGGAACTAGGGTAACCCAACAAACAGCTAAGAACTCCTAAACCAGAACGGCACTCAGTGCTCCCAAGCACTGTTGGAGTTGTATGTGTATATATGTAGAGGGACGCATAGGTAGAAGCATGTATAATACCTAGACTCAAACACATGCCTGTGCATGTTAACTGTTGCTGCTTATAATCTTTCTTTATATCTCTAACAACAAAAAGTTCTATACATATATATACAGACACACATACATACATACATACATACATACATACATACAGACATACAGATAAACAGGCACGCAGACAGACAGATCACAGACAAACATACATACATACATACATACATACATACATACGTACATACGTACGTACACGTATACCAAAAAAGGCTCCGGTGGAGACTTCCGAGGGGTTGTCGGCTTCAAAATGCAACATGTCTTCGCAAACAACTGCAACCGCCAGGTGTCTGCTGGACGAGCGCAGCTAGAAGACGCCTTGGCGCAAAGCATGTGGCGTAGCTTGCGGCTTGCTATCGCGATGGCAACTGCGAAGTCTGGCGATGTGAATGGCGACACTCGAGGCGACTTCCTGTCCCCTTGTAGAACGCAATCACAATAGGAGAACGCGAGTGCTAATTAGGTGCTTCCGGAACGCTACTGCTGTTAAGGGCCAGGCGAGTCTGCTAGCACTTGGTCGCCATTGACCGCATATAAAAAGCCTGCATGCTCTTCTTTCGGTGAGCAGCTTTCATGCATAAAGGTCGCGATCTGCTGGGTGAGAGTTCTCTATGTTCTCGATGAAGGCAAGACACATGTATCACGGAATCACAGTTTCAGGCTGAGTGGGGTTCGAGTTGAGACTCCGCTTGGGGCGCGATTGCCAAGACGTTGCTGC